AGTAAAGGTGCGATAAAAGAAAACAACAGAAGACTCTCCCCATTAAATCAAATCCTGCATACAAGTGTACAACAAGCAAGAATTTAGCCTTTCTGTGTCTGGCCAGTCTTTTAGCTTGATGCATGCATGTCCATGCTGTCATTTCCAGAACATTTACCTTTTATTCTCCTTAATTTTTTATTTTATTTTTTTGAAAAATAGCCACACTGGAACAAGCATTTGTCTTGCATGCCAAGCAAGTTTATCCAGTCTCTACGGATCCTTTTTTCTAGATAGGCGAGCCAGGAGTTTGTTTTTGTTCTGGTTTTTGGAAAACGAAAGAGGATATGAAGATAGATGAAGATCTGGGTCCTGATCGCGAAGACCAATTCCAAACAGATGATGAGGAAAACCAGGGTGAAAGGTTTTGTCAAAGCAATTCAGATTCAGAATCTGATATCATGGATTCTTCACAGTACCTCTCCAACAACAGTTTTGACGTTACCACTCCATCATGGCCTCAGAGTTACAGGTACTTCATCGAATGTCCCAGCTTGTATGTATTTTTGGTTTTCTTTAAATTAAACGTGTATATATATGTCAATCAATCTATTTTTATTCACTCAAACATTGATTGATTGGAATTCGCAGCAAATAGCTGGGCTAGCAATAGACTTCAATGCAAACTATTATAATCACATAATCTGCTCTGTATATTCTATTCTTTTATTGCATTTTTTTCACTCATGGGAGATTGTCTTAACAAACACTGGCAGGTCTAGCGTTAAGACGAAACAATTGCATAAGCATTATGAATGTGAAGGTAGTGCAACTTCATTGATTAAGAGAAGCAAGAAAATATAAATGGTGATGAATTCGTGAAAAAACTTTACATAGATATTAAGCTTTTCATGGGCCGCGAATAGATATCATAGAAATTAAAAGGTAGAATGACACATAAATTTGTGCAGGAAGTCGATAGACTTGCTTACGGGTACGACACCTCCTTCAGTTAACATCTTGAAAGGGACCGGTAGTATGGCGGGGAAAACCAGTTCTTTAACTTCAGTTTATAAGAGACGTCAAGGTTCAGAAGTGGACTCTTCTCTAAGTAGCCCATTCATCTCCGAACAAAGTTTAGGCAAAGAAGTACCAAGCTTCATACTGACCGTGAAGTCATCTGCATCTTCTCATTCGAGATTTTCTGTTAATGAATTGGCACCACCAGATCAAAAAGCTTCATTAGCTCAATCAATACTCAATGGTACATGGAATAACTTTCGTCTCTAAGCTCTTTTTTCTCAGAATTAGTGCGATAAACAAAATCATTATGCTTCAATAAAATGTTCATCTGTCTCCCAAAAGATTCATGAAATAAGTCCACGGGGACTGCATTTTATTACAGTAGAGGTGGCTAGCTTTGAATTCGCAGTTGAAGGTTTTAATATTCTATTATCTATTGGATTAATCATTTCCTGTTTGTCGTCGTCTAAAACTAGGCCACGGAAGAGTTCCTTTTGGCACCATGGAACTGACACCGCTATATTCTAAGAGATGACATAGCTGGCTTTTATCCGCATCCGGAAAACTCACGCTGGGGGTTGCTTTCCACCTTCTTTTGTTCTCTACAATTTACTATATTTTATGTTCTTCTATCTAGGAACAAATGTTTTGTGCGGCATCGGACTCCTTACAATGCCTTACGCAATCAAAGAAGGAGGGTGGTTGAGCCTCATAATACTCTCACTATTTGGTGTCATCTGCTGCTACACTGGGATGTTATTGAAAAATTGTTTAGAAAGCTCTCCTGGACTACAAACTTACCCTGATATTGGACAAGCTGCTTTTGGAGTGCGTGGGCGCTTAGTGATATCAGTAAGTGAAATCACAATGTGATGTGTCAACAGTCAATAAATTTTAAGAACATTAGCTGGTGGATTTGCTGCATTAAAACAAGATTTCTTGTTGTTTCATGTAACTGACAGTTGGGTTTCGGCCAATGCAGATGGTATTATACGTTGAATTATATGTAAGTGTGACGAATTCTTCGTGCATCTCAGCTCTTTATTAATTTCAGTATCCTTTCTTCCCAAGTACTTAAAGGAGATTAGCTTCAATCTGCAGGCTTCGTGTGTGGAGTACGTAATCATGATGAGTGATAACTTGTCGACATTATTCCCAAACATGTACATGAATTTTGCCGGAATACATCTGGATTGTCATCAAATCTTCTCCATCACGGCAACTCTCATTGTTCTTCCAACAGTGTGGCTTCGAGACCTAAGTTTGCTGTCATACCTTTCAGGTTCCATTTCTATTTTTGTTTCTCTCTTTAATACACTATAGCACCATTTCTAGCTCCCTTTTTCTTCAGCATAAAAAGCTTATTGTAAACTTAACAATAGCTGCTGATCTCTATGCCTATGTGTTCAGTTGGAGGAGTAGGCGCATCAATTATAGTTGCTCTCTGCTTGTTATGGACTGGGGTGATCGACAAAATTGGATTTCATCCAACTGGAACAGCTCTTGACCTTGCAAACTTGCCTGTTGCAATTGGTATATATGGTTTCGGCTTCTCTGGCCATTCAGTTTTTCCAAATATTTACTCTTCTATGAAAGAACCATCAAGGTTTCCAACAGTTTTAATTACCAGGTATATTGGTACTACATGCACTTCCTTTCTGCAACCAATCCTATTCGTTCGTTCAGTGTGCTACAATTTGAAAGCTTTATAGATATAAACATGACTTCTTTCTGAGAAATGGCATTTGTCTAATTCCTCTTCTTTTTTTGTGCTAAGGCTTCATCATTCTAGCTAAATGGAAACCATTGATAGCTTGCACTACAATTGCCTCAACAATTAATGTCTAATAAGGATAATGCTAGAGATACTAAAAGTTATGATCATAGATGTAAAACTTGATAAACATGGGCAGAAAATCTTCCATCTCCTAGCATATATTAATCATTTAGGCTTTAAACTTTCCATCTTCCACCTGAAGAATTCCCACGTCTTGCTTCAAGGCTTTACAGAAGTTTCCGTATTTTCCAATATAAAATTGGCAAATAGAATCTATTCCTTCAGTAACTTGTTTCTCATGCTGCAGCTTCATTTTTTGTTGGCTTATGTACACTGGAGCAGCAATATGTGGCTTTCTGATGTTCGGGCACTCGATCGAATCTCAGTATACTTTAAACATGCCAGCACAATTTGTGTCTTCTAAAGTTGCAGTCTGGACAGCAGTATGATAAGAAACTCATTTCAATTTTCTTCATACTTTCACATTAATCCATGGCCTGATGATTGATTATCTCCCTGAATTAAAAAACCTTTTAAGTCATTAACCGCGTATGGAAAGTAGGAGACTGGTTCCTCGTGTTCAATATTTGTGTGATTTGCAGGTTGTTAACCCGATGACCAAGTATGCCTTGGTGATGATGCCTGTTGCATTGAGTTTAGAGGAACTCGCGCCTTCAGGCCGGTCTAGCTCTTACGGCGTGTCATTAATCATTAGAACATTCTTAGTGACCTCGACTTTAGCTGTGGCACTAGCAGTTCCATTCTTTGGTACCAAAAACTTCAATCTCTAACTTGAATGTGAAGGAATAACGCAAATGATCCTTGATTTTGTAATTTGGGGTGCAGGTTTTGTGATGGCCTTAATTGGATCTTTGCTTGCAATGCTCGTGGTAAGCTGTCATTCGTAGACCGTTGGTATTAACGCAAAGAAACCGCATGCATTCATGCATCATTTCTCTGATCTTCATTTTGTTGCAGGCTGTTATCTTCCCATGTGCATGTTATCTCAGCATACTCCATGAAAGATTAACTAAGTTGCAGGTAAGAATTTGGTCACTCCCTTCACGTTACTGTCTTCACATGAACACATTTATTTCTCTCTATGGTATTTGAGGTGCCGATTAATTTTCTTTTATTAAAAAAATGTCTCTCTCTCCTATCAGATAGCAGCTTGCCTTTTCACCATTGGCGTGGGGGTGTTGTTTGGTTGCGTTGGCACATACTCAGCGATTACAAGAATAGCCGGCAGACTGGGCTGACGGACTGAATCAAACAGACACAAAGAAAAGACAAAATCTTATTGAAAATGTTCTCACTAACAGTAACTCTATTTCATATTTTGTTCCCTCCTGTAAAGAACGTCAATGACTGATCTTAACATGGAAAAAAAAAATCAAAATCCTAATGAAAAAATAAAAAACAACAAAAACTTTGAAAATAGATTTTAAATAAAAAAATTAACACAAACAACATGTTCAAGCGTGAGAAAATTGTGTGGAGAACACTTGAAATTCATATTTATATAGTTTAGGAAAGGTTCCATGAGTGGAAACCCAGATGGAACCTTCCTTCACATCATTCTTTAAAGTCTTTCTAATTACTATCTCCTCTCTAAGACTTGTCTAGCAGCATCAATTGTTGTGCTATGCTCTGTTTGTTGTATTATTATCTGAGATGTTAGCATCATTATGATGTTTGGTGACTAGGTAATGTTATTTAAAAGAAATCATGTTTTTATCTAAGAAAATAATAATATTCATAATAACAAAAAAAATATAAGATATTTGTTAAAGTAAAAATAAACAAAAATGATTATTTTGATAGAAGTTATTTTTAAAATATATTTTACTTTAAAATTTACTAAAATAATATTTCTTAAAAAATTATTTTTAAAATTCATATATTAAAATATCTAAAAATATAAAAAATAAATTTTTAAAAAATATTTAAAACCTAAATTGCTTCTAAAAAATAAAAAAATTAGAATTAATATCTCTAAATTATTAGAATATAATAATAATAATAATAATAATAATAATAATAATAATAATATTTAGTATTATGTTAGCCGTTGTTTTTTCAAATTATTTTTTATTGAAAATTTATTAAAATAAATTTTTATTATTTTTAAATTAAATTAATATAAAAACCTTAAAAAAATGATTAAAAAAAAACTCTTGTATTTCTTTCTGCCAGGTAAACGAAGAAAGAAAGAGAAACACCACCCAGTAAATAAAAATTAGAACTAAGACTAAAAACAACACAAACACCCCTTCCCAGAGACGCTGTCGTTTCAACGCCGGTGCCTCTGGTTTCCTCACCTCCAAACGATGAAGCGACGCGTCAGGTTCTCCCTTCCGGTAACCGTCGTCGTTTTAGCCATAATTTATATTTACTTCTCCACGATCTTTGTCTTCATAGACGGTTGGTTCGGTCTCATGTCTTCCCCCGGCATCCTGAACGCCGTCGTTTTCACAGCTGTGGCTTTCATGTCCATTTTCAGCTATGCCGTCGCAATCTTGACTGATGCGGGCCGGGTCCCTTCCACTTTCATGCCCGACATCGAAGACTCAAGTAACCCAGTCCACGAGATCAAACGCAAAGTACAGTAACTCTGGGAATTTATGCCCATTGGTTCTTAGATCCTTTTGTTCTGTCAATCTCATTTAGTCAGGTTGTTAGAGTGGTAAGAAATTAGGTCATGCATCGATGGTAGAACTTTCTTGATTTTGTAGGTGGATGAAAGTAAATGGTTGACATTGGAATGTTTTCTGTCATAATTGAACTGATTTTGATGGCTGTCTCTTGTCATAATATATTTCTACACACATGCGTAATTGAAGGCCACGCGAAGTTGTGAACAATGTCTTCCTGATCTGCCACCACGGCACGGCTCCCAGAAGTTGATGTTTAGGAACTGGCGGGGGTTGGGAAAAAAAATGTTCAATTTGATTATTTTGTTGTGATGGTTGAAGTCATCAACATCGTAGATGCTTCTTTTGGTCCATTATCTGAGTTGATGGATGCTTTGACGTTATTGATTTGTGAAAGATCTTACATCATAGCTAGGGTTCTTCCTATGTTATATAGGCATAAATAAAAATATTAGTTGCTTTTTCGTACATCATTTTTGTTGATAGCTGCGATAACGTCCTAGAGAAACTTCATTTTCATGTAATTCAGATGCATACTTGTAAGAGAATAAGATAACCCTCTGTTCAAATGACTAAGTGGCTTCAAGTTTAATTAGTCATCATAGCTGTGTGGTTAAATGCCTTTCAAAATACATATGGAAAGAGATTGGATATTTGTAATTAGTTTTTTTTTTTCTGTATTTAGACATTTGAATCTGATCATTTTGATGCACAAATACGCTTCAAACCTAAAATCTCAATATTTCTTGAAAGCAAGTGATTTTCTATCTCAGTGAGAACCTCAAGTCTTGGCTTCCCATACATGACACTTAGTTGGATGTTTGCAGGGAGGAGACTTGAGATATTGCCAGAAGTGTTCCCACTTTAAGCCTCCACGTGCTCATCATTGCCGTGTTTGCAAAAGATGTGTGTTGCGAATGGTATGCATGATCTCTTTTGTCATTCATGCCTTATCTCAAATGTCCTTGTTAGTCTGTTAAAGTGCTACCTGTTGATTGTAAGGACCATCATTGCATTTGGATAAGTAACTGTGTGGGCCATGCAAACTATAAGGTCTTCTTCGGCCTCGTTGTGTATGCTGTAATTGCATGCATCTACTCCCTGGTATGTAAAGCTTCTGTCGATGTTTTGGGCACTTTCTCTTGTGAATTGCACTGTCTCTTTATCATTCTGGAACTTTATCTTTTAATTGGCTGGTTGTCATTTTTCTGTATTTCATGTGCTGCCACGCCTTTCCCCTTTTGAGTTCTTACACTATTGAATTACAGTGGGTGGACACCAATCGAGAAAGCCTACAACTTCATTTTCCTCGTGTTTCTCCTTGCTTAAATTTTCAGGTCTTGCTTGTTGGTAGTCTAACTGTTGACCCTCAAAAGGATGAGCTGCAAAGTGGTGACTCTTTCAGAACCATATATGTATGTCCCCATTAAATCATTCAGCTAGCATGTAATACATTAAATTCAGCTCATAACTCAACTATTTTCAGGTTATTTCTGGGCTGTTGCTAGTTCCATTGAGTGTGGCACTTGGTGTTCTATTGGGTTGGCATGTATACCTCATTTTGCAAAACAAAACCACAATCGAGGTTATTGGATATTAAGAAATCATTATTTCACTTTTTTTTAATACCCAATTTATTCCTTAATTTTTATGATGGTCTTCTATGGTATCTTCTTTCAGTTTCATGAAGGAGTGAGAGCTATGTGGCTGGCAGAAAAGGAAGGGCACGTCTATAAACACCCATATGATGTGGGCGCCTATGAAAATCTGACTACGGTGAAGACATTGCGCCCTTTTTTCTTTCTTTCTTTTTTTTCCTTTCTTGCTTGAAAAATATGTGTTTAGCATGATGTATCTTTGGAAAAATTGTCTGCGCTTCATTTTCATCTCCACTCAACTGTTCCCCCCTACCGTTGTTCTTCATAGATGACAAACTAATCTATTCTCTTTATGGACATGAGAAGGCCTGAATGTATTTCATAGCTTTTAGGTTATTGCTAGATGCATCCTGCATCCCTTTGTGCTTACACAGTTATGATCATGCAGACAGCTAGCAGTGATCATTTGAGCAATTCGGGTGCATCTTGGTGGAAGTATTGTGCATGTACTTTAAGTGCATATAAATTGTTGTTTCGTTTCTTGATGAACACTATTACAGTTTCCGCATACTATATGTCCTTGAAACTTGGACGTTCTATTGTGTAGAATTGTGCATCGTAGTTCAACTTAAGTTAAATGGTTCCACCATACCATCTGGCAAGTTAAATGATTTGACCATATCAGCTGCAAGTAGCCAGTCAACTTGCAAAACCATGAAACCTAGAAAAGTCATACGCTCGAGTGACAGGCTTTGCTCCATGACCAGCTGTGGCAGCTAGCTAGACCAAACTGAGCTTCCTAGATACTCTTTATGTTTGTACTGCTTATCATACTTGGCAAGGCCCTGAGGCATGGTTAGATTGGCCTGTTAGGACAATTTTGGTTAAAGCTATAGTGGTGAGTGTTGTGTGTGATTTGTAAAATAGTACTACAAATGTAGTTGATACTTTAGGATTAGGAAAATTATGTTCTACATATCAATTCATGAACAAGCTGATTATGTTTTTCATTTTCTTGCGGGACTGCTTTAGGTCTTGGGTCCAAGTATATCCTGCTGGGTGTGCCCAACATCAGGACATATCGGTTCAGGTCTCCGCTTCCGTACAGCCTATGATGGTATGAGCAGTGCATCTGTGTGATAATCAAGTTCTATTCTGTATCAGAGTCACTCCGTTGGCAATAGCATGGTGTGCAAGACTGGATGGTTTTTGATTGAGATGCTTTTCTTCAGCCCCATTTATCTGTGCGGCCAAGCTTTAGCTTGACTTGGTCCACGGAGGAGAAATGCGCCTCGAATTGTCACCACTCAACCATAGAGAACCAAGGGATGGCCGTTGTCTGCTATATTTCAGGGAGGCAATGTGATGTGATCAAGTGTGAATCAGTTTGGTATAGAGAGTGCTATTTCCAATTTGTGTTTGAGGGGATTTCGGGATAATGTAGAGATCCTATGAGGCTGACAAAAGAGTGCACAGTGAGTAAACAAGGATTTTGAATCCTTAAACTCGCCTGCATGAACACCACCATCCTAGTAACTTAGAATTGTAATTAATATTTGCAACAACAGACAAAACGAGAAGGAATATTAAGCAACTTTGTTTATTTCTCTTCATTATCGTAATTGAATCATACTTTTTCACCAGATATCTTTGATGTATTGCCTCATCCTTGTATTATGAACTCTGCAAAACGCATAAAACGAAAAAATAATAATAATCATCATCATCATTTAGTATTAAGATATATCATATATAATAACTGCATATGTTTCTAATGTATTATCATTATTGTCATATATTAATAATTATCTAAGAGAAAGTTCGATTTGAACTGTAGGGATAGGAGGGGTGAAGAACGTAATTTAGCCATTTGAATAAACAAAATGTCGGGGCCCTCGGTGGGATGGGGGCTCGCGCCATCTCCAAGAATCCCACGTGACACGAAATGTTATTGTCTCGTGAGTCATCATCTCCAAAAAAAGCCAGAGCTTCTGATGTAGTAATCCTAGTGCGAGTACTGTTCAATCACAGAGCTCCGGATGGAGTAATCCTAGTGCGAGTACTGTTCAATCACCCTGCCTCAGTTAATCTTCGGAAAAAGGAAGGAAAAGGGGGAGGACACGCTCTCATTTCAATGTTTCTCTCTCTGCCCGCCATGGATGAAGATAACGATGAGATTAACAGGTCTGATTCCTGGGTTCTTGGTTCTCTTACTGTTTTGACCATTTTAATGACTCTTTCTGTAGGAAAGAAACCTTAAATCAGGTGATGGAAAGCGTGTTAAGACTCTTTTTTTTGTGTAAATCAGCTAAAGAGTGTTCAACTGTTTTTCTTGCATGTCATGTTGTAATTTTGTGATCTTTGTGTGAACATCAAAGGAATATCTCTTTAATTGTTAAATTGAAGCAGTTAACAGTAGTGTCGCAAATATTTATTGCAATTCTATGCACCCGCTGAATAAATAAGAAAACAGGATTCAAAAAGGGCTGGCTTTTTTAGTGCTAGTGGCTGGATTTGCAATCTGATGTTTCTCAAGGAGGAGCTCCTTTTCTATTTATATGTTTTTTAAATTTATGTCCTTTAAAAACAAGTTGCCGTTTTCTTTTGCTAAAAGAAATTCAATGATTATTTTGTGTGTTGTTGGGCGAGAGAGCAACATAGCATGGTTAATTGCTGCTTCTGGGTCAAAGATCTAAGCTTTCTCTCATTTGCATTATGTGCTTGACTTCAATGCTTGAAGCATTCACACGAATAGGATTGAAACCAAGTCCATGCATTCTTTACTCATTACAAACAGATGTTTTTAGAATATGAATCTAATGCTTTTACCTGGTTTCCATAATAACACGGAATTAAAGGGGAGGATTATGTCTTGTTTTTCTTCCATCCTATCTTCTGGTTAGCAATAATGGAAACTTGTCAATTTGTTAATTTTCCTAGTATGCCTTTTTATCCAGACTAATTATGATGCACTTTTGCTTATCTATATTATTCAAAATGCAGCTTCTTACTTTTGTAGTGGTCTTTTTTGCCCACTTTTTCTTTCAGCTTCCAGCTCGAAGAAGCAGTCAACTCCAAATTTTTTTACTTGAACAAGAAAAGGAAGACACAGCCTGAGCAATTAGGCTTGCCCATTTCAAAACATAAATGCTGGGATCATCGTTTCCCTCTCAAAACTTCCAAAATATATGAAGAAAATGAAGAAGAAAAGGACTTGATCACATGCATAATCGTGCAAAATGCTGAACGACAGGCCATTGATGAAGGATCAGATCCTGAATCTGCCAAAGATAGCAATAGTTTTGTTGAAGATTCTGACTTTGCCATGTCTGTGGATGGTGAAGCTAAATTTGAGAAGGAGGTTTCAAAGATATGGCCACCTGAAAGGCCCTCAACTTCATCATTCAGCTGCAACAGTCTCAAGGATGCTCAATATTCTTCAGACAGTGCTTTAGCAGCACGACATGCCGGAAAAGAGGAATTGACATTTGTGAAAGGGGAGATTGATCAATGCGGTCATGATGATGGATTACTAGCATCTCAGAATCTTGAAGAGCCTATCCTCGAATTTGAAAGCCCTTTAGATTACAGTTGCTCTGAATTTGGAATTGACAGCATCGAAACATGCACAGGTAAAGAACTTGATGATATTCTCTATTCCAATGGAGTTAATCCAAATGTGTATGCCCTTTCATCCAGAAGATGGCTGTCAACCAAGGTATTTTAGTTAGTCAGCATACCTGTGGTTTGCAGATTCATAGGTTCAAACCATGCCCTCTTATCCCTGCCCCCTTTTGGGGTTTAAGTGACAACGTGAATTGAATATTTACTTGGCTTTGTATCTACATTGACTTACTTTGTGTCCTTTATTTTGAATGCAGAAGCTCAGTCAGGCCCCAGAAAACCAACCATTGATCAAGAATTTGAGCAGTACTTTTCCATGCTTATGCTGTGATAGTGAGCACTTGTATTTAGAGCTTGAAGCGAATGATTTTAGTACATAGCTGCAGTATGTGACTCATTAGAGTGCAAGTCAAAACATAAAAGAAGCTTTCGTTTTCTGGTTAAGGCAAGCATTCCTCGTGAGGGCTGATTGTGACCAGTTCAGTGAAGCAATGCCCTTTTTCTTCCAATCTTCGAGCAAGCTTAGTTTTGCTTGTATAATACAGCTGTTTTCTGCTCCTCCACGGTTCTTGTACCATGCAAGTCGTGAACTTTTAGAAGTATTGACGGAGCTCTTTCTTAATGGATCCTGTTGTTGGCGTTATGGATTGAGAATTTGAGGAAAACCCTCATATGTTAGTTTATTTGTGTTTGGTTATGCAGTTTGAAGGCATGGGTATGTGAATCACAAAGGTCGGGAATGAAAAATTGCACTTGCACCACCCGGGAAATAAACGCCGGTATGTACCGTGGTAGGGTACTCTCCTACCAAACCACTGGAGCTTTTTGGTCAAGAGCTTTTTTGCTTTTTATTTAATATAATATATTATCTAGATAGAAAGAGGACGCTTGTAATGGATTGTAATAGAGTTTATGTTTTTAAATTATTTTTTTATCTAGAAATATATCAAAATTATATTTTTTATTGAAAGTCGGGAATAAAAAATTGCACTTGCACCAGCCGGGAAATGAACGCCGGTATGTACCGTGGCAGGGTACTATCCTACCAAACCACTGGAGCGTTTTTGGTCAAGAGCTTTTTTGCTTTTTATTTAATATAATATATTATCTAGATAGAAAGAGGATGCTTGTAATGGATTGTAATACAGTTTATGTTTTTAAATTTTTTTTTTTTCTAAAAATATATTAAAATAATATTTTTTTTTTTTAAAAAATTATTTTTGATATCAGCGCATCAAAATAATTTATAAACACTAAAAAAATATTAATTTAAAATAAAAAAATTTTTTCAAAAGTGTTTTTAAAATGAGAAAACAATCAGGTTTTAAAATTTAAAATTTTCAAATTTGATTATAATGTTTGAATTGAATTTAATTGATAAATAAGTTAATTTATATAGATAAAATTTATTTTATTTTGTTTTTTATACATCCTTGTATATTTATCTTATTTTTTTCAAAGGTAATTTTTAAAAGAAGGAATGAATTGATTGGTATTTCAAAGAAGTTAATTTTAATATTAAATTTTTTTCAGTGTATTAAATAAGGGGTTGGTTTCTAATTTATTTTCATAATATTTTTATAGCTTGTATTAAACCTTTTTAATTGATTTCAATTCAAATATTTAAATTAATTTTTATATTTAAAAATTTTTCAAGGGTATTAATTTGAATTTTAAATGAAATTCAATTTTAAAAAAAGTGCAAAAGCAAGTTAGATAGGAGATCATTTGATTTGCAATAATAATTCATTTTAAAATTTACATTGAAAATAATATTTCAAAAACACTTTTTTTTTTCATCTCAAAAACCCTACAAACTTTATCTCATAAATAACTTAATCTTCACCAAAACCCTATAATGTTATTTTCAATAAAAACAATCTTGTTCGCAATCTTTATGAAAACCTCTTCTTTAAATTACCAATTTCCTCTTTCCTTAACTGGCTCTCTTCATCTCTTTTGTTTTTGCTTCGTAATGACCTAGTTGAAATCTTACAAGATAACTCAAGTTTAGATAAAAACAATAAATCTAAAATTTTTCAAGTGTTCCAAAAATAATGTTAGATAAACTAGAATAAAATCAGACTTAGACTTATTACTCAAATATAAATAAATATTAAAGATAAAAAAATTATTAATAATAAATATATTTTACATCAATAAAAAGTATTATGTATAACAAGTTAATTAATATTCGCTAACAACAATCACAAAACCTTAATAATCGAACCATTATCAAAAATACCTTGTATACCAACATTATAACTAATAATTCAGTTTAAAATTCAAAAACCCATTATTGCAAACAACATAAAAAGAAATCATGCCTCTTCCAAACAACAATAACAACTAATATTTACCAAGAAAATCAAGAAATATCCATTATTAGCAAGAATCTATCATTTGAGCAAAATAATTAAGATTGATAATTTAATTCATTTCCATATATATTACAAATAATATAATTGAATTTAATTATCTGATTTAATTTTTTATTCCAAACATAATAATTGTAATAAGTTATCAATTGAAGTCAAATTTACTTATGAATTCAATTTAATTCCACAAATTATTTGTTAGAGATTAAATTTCATTTGAAAATCAATTCTTAGAACTTAAAATATTTTCAAAAATGAAATTTCATTAAAATCTCTAAATTGAGTTTAATTTATAGGGTTATAAACATGTTGAAAGGGATTAAATAACAAGAAAATCTAATTTCATATCTTGTTAGAAAGAACTTCGAACTTGGGATATTTGCTAATTTCTTTCAGCAAGGGAAATCTAATTTTTGATTTATTTATTTTTGAAATAATTTGTTATGTACTTGTTGGTTTTTTATTCGTGAATGTGTATTTGTATGTCGTTATGTATTTCATTTTGATTAATTTGCTATGTGTGTTTGATTTTTGTGTTAGATTGTATAGGTTGGTATTATTTGCATTGCCTTGAATTATATGAGCGATATTCTACTGGGTATGGATATATCTGTAGGGTTATGTTGAGAGCCACGGTTTAATAGTGATTATGTGAATTTCATTGCGTAATGTCAATTGGTTGTTGTAGACTTGAGGATGGCATAATCCTACCCCAAGCCCCAAGGTCTGGGATGATTCTCAAATTTTCTAACTGCAAAAGATTTACATGCCAGTTCTCAAGACCATTTGGGCTAAATCGCCATCCAAATTGGTTGAAATGGAGGCTCTAACATAAAATTATATTATTCTTAAGATTAAAACAAGATTTTTTTTACCAATTTAACCACAGAAAGTTACCTTCTTTCTAGCCAAGAAATTACCAGGAACCAATACTCCAATTCTGTGGTTGGTGGAGAATAATGGGAGATTCCACCAAATTAATTGCTGAATGTCACATCATGTTCAATGATCCTTCACCCTCTCTTTTCTCCACAGACTCTTCTAGTGCATTGATCCTTTCAAAAAAACTTGTAATCTCATGCATACACGACAACTAATTTTCCTGTACACGGCCTGCTTACAGAGATCTGAGAAAAGTTGCGGTGCTTTGACAATTCTCTTGAGATTGGTAAATCAATGAGTAAATAAACGCATTGCAAGAGCAGAAAAACTACCAGAAAAGGAGAAGGCAATGAACTGACCAGCAATTCGAAGCAACGGAATCGTCACCAATTACACTCCCTAAAATCTAACAAATCTAGAAATCTCTCTAACATTAACATAACAGGAGACGCACATTTTTTCCTCTTTCCTTAACTGACTCTCTTCATCTCTATTGTTTTCGCTTCTTAATGACCTAATTAAAATCTTATAATCTTATAAGATAACTCAAGATAAAAATAATAAATCTAAAATTTTTCAAGGGTTCCAAAAATAATGTTAGATAAACTAGAATAAAATCAGACTTAAATTTATTACTCAAATATAAATAAATATTAAAAATAAAAAAAATTATTAATAATAAATATATTTTACATCAATAAAAAGTATTATGTATAACAAGTTAATTAATATTCGCTAACAACAATCACAAAACCTTAATAATCGAACCATTATCAAAAATACCTTGTATACCAACATTATAACTAATAATTCAGTTTAAAATTCAAAAATCCATTATTGCAAACAACATAAAAAGAAATCATGCCTCTTCCAAACAACAATAACAACCAGTATTTACCAAGAAAATCAAGAAATATCCATTATTAGCAAGAATCTATCATTTGAGCAAAATAATTAAGATTGATAATTTAATTCATTTCCATATATATTACAAATAATATAATTGAATTTAATTATCTGATTTAATTTTTATTCCAAACATAATAACTGTAATAAATTATCAATTGAATTCAAATTTACTTATGAATTCGATTTAATTCCATAAATTATTTATTAGAGATTAAATTTCATTTGAAATTCAATTCTTAAAACTTAAAATATTTTTAAAAATGAAATTTCATTAAAATCTCTAAATTGAGTTTAATTTATAGGGCTATAAACATGTTGAAAGGGAATAAATAACAAGAAAATCTAATTTCATATCTTGTTAGAAAGAACTTCAAACTTGGGATATTTGTTAATTTCTTTTAGCAAGGGAAATCTAATTTGTGATTTATTTATTTTTGAAATAATTTGTAATGTAATTGTTGGTTTTTATTCTTGAACGTGTATTTGTATATCGTAATGTATTTCATTTTGATTAATTTGATATGTGTGTTTGATTTTTGTGTTAGATTGTGGAGGTTGATATTATTTGCATTGCGTTGAATTATTTGAGCGATATTCTACTGGGTATGGATATACCTGTAGGGTTATGTTGAGATCCACGGTTTAATAGTGATTGGTTGTTGTAGACTTGAGGATGGCATAATCCTAGCCCAAGCCCCAAGGTCTGGGATGACTCTAAAATTTTCTTACAGCAAAAGATTTACATGCCAGTTCTTAAGACCATTTGGGGTAAATCGCCATCCAAATTGGTTGAAATGGAGGCTCTAACATAAAATTATATTATTCTTAAGATTAAAAGAAGTTTTTTTTACCAATTTAACCATAGAAAGTTACCTCCTTTCTAGCCAAGAAATTACCATGAACCAATACTCCAGTTCTGTGGTTGGTGGAGAATACTGGGAGATACCACCAAATTAATTGCTGAATGTCACATCATGTTCAATGATCCTTCACTCTCTCTTTTCTCCAGACTCCTCAAGTGCATTGATCCTTTCAAAAAAACTTGTAACACATGCATACACGACAACTAATTTCCTGTACACGGCCTGCTTACAGAGATCTGAGAAAAGTTGCGGTGCTTTGACAATTCTCTTGAGATTGGTAAATCAATGAGTAAATAAATGCATTGCAAGAGCAGAAAAACTACCAGAAAAGGAGAAGGCAATGAACTGACCAGCAATTCGAAGCAACGGAATCGTCACCAATTACACTCCCTAAAATCTAACAAATCTAGAAATCTCACTAACATTAACATAACAGGAGACGCACATTTATATCTACAGAAATAGAAAAATGCATCTAATGTCCCCATCTCTTACTCCCTTAATTCTAATTTAAATCTAAGCCCCTTCAATCCCTAAAATGGAATAAATAAACGATATTAAGAATGCATATCTAGGGCGGATTGTGCCCAAGCTTCATATCTATGACGTCAAAATAGAAAGCAGAGCATCAAGCTCAGGCGGTTGAAAATACCCGTCTTTTGGTGGGTCTCGTTTCTTTCCAATCACCGACTTCTTCTTGGGAGGTGGTGGACAAACAATGGCAGTCGGAATCTGACATCCCATGCTCTTCGGAGTCGTGCACTCTTCTTCCACCTTCATTTTCTACCGTCAATTAAAATCAGACACCAAAAACAACAGAATTGAATTTCAAATAGGTTAATGCTTAAATAGGCAAATGGATATATATAAAAAGAGTTTTTAAAATTCGAAACGTGAAAGGAAGCGGGGGAGGTGGATTGGATCGATGGAGCGCTTGGGTGTTTTTTATTTGGATCGTGTGGTGGGTTTAGATGACAGCAAGGGAGGGAGCGGGTTGGCACCTACGTGGCTGCTAAATACTGGATTTTAAAACATGCATGTTGTCAACGTGGCCCATGTTTCACCGCGTTTTTTGTCCGTCCTTTCAAATGCGGCGGTGGTGACAGCTTGAGTCGGTGTTTGCGCGGGAACATTCTTCTTTTGAATATTGACCTCCTATTTTTAACTTTTTTTTATTTTTTTTTGTTTTAAAAGAAATTTTGGGTCGGCGCATGTGTACTCCAATTTACATGAAAATTTTGGGACGGCGCATGTGTACTCCAATTTACATGAAACGTTTACAAAAAGCTGATGGCGCTGGCAGTAATTACCACTACTCTCCTAGAATAAAGGAATAAATTTACAGTGCTTCACTGTAGACAGTAAATAAAGCACTTTAGTTTTTTTATCAAACTTTTATTCTTTTTTTATTCTACTTTTTAAATTATTTTTTTTAATTTTATCATTTGATATTTTTTTAATATTAAATTAATTATTATAATATTAAAATTCTCATACTTTTAAACAAGTCTCTAAATAGTTAATTGGTATTTAATTTTTACAAATATATGTATCATTAAATAAAAAAAAATTATTAAAAAAAAGTTTTTAAGTAAGTTAGAATTTATATTCTAGTCGTAGATTTTACAACTAAATTGCAAAGCTCAATTTAATATATCAACCGCTCGATATTAAAAAAATATATATTATCTTAAAAAATAATTAAAGTCGAATAATAGTTTTACCGGTCATACAGTTTCTCTACGAGAATAATAGAATATTTTCTTATCAATTTTTTTTTTAATATTTTGTTGATTTTGAATGAAATTCATACTTTATTTTATTTTATTTTTTATAAAGTTATTACAGTTTCAAACAAAAATCATAATATTTAGTTAGTTATTAATTTTACGAGTATCTATTTTTTTATCATTTCATTAAGATAAAAATAGTTTAAGATATTATGATTATTTGATCATGAATTTGACGAGTTAAGTCATAATACCTAAATTGATCTGATATGTTGCTTTTTTAATATAAAAAAATAGTGCTCTTAATTATTTTTTTAAGTCATATTATACTTTTTATCAATTATGTAAATTGTTTTTGGATTAGTTAAATATTAAGTCATGTTAAAATAATTCTCATATAATTTAATTTAAAATTCTAATTAAATAAAAAGTTGAATTAAGAGTTTTTAAAATTCAGAAGATAGATCAAATTTAACAATAATTTTAAATAATATCTAATGGTTTATACATTTTTAAGTTCAATATTTTTTATTTATTTTTAACTTGCAACGTAGTACAAGCGAGGAAACTAGTTACTAAGAAAACCAATAGCTGTCCATAAACATTATGGATCAAGAATCATGTGGTTTGCCACAATGCAATGAACAGTGAAGGCCATTGATGTTCAAACTAGGGGTAAATTGTTCTTTTCACGTGGTTTGTTTGGTATTATCACGTTGTTAAGAGTTAAATTGGTTTTTTATTTTTTTTAGCATAATAAAATAACTTAACTCTTTTACAAAGAAAAAAAAAAAAAATAGCCTATTGTGTATGAGCTCCATGATATTTTTATTTGTTTTAAATAATAAATAATTAAATTATTTTTAGAAACAAAATTTATTGTCGGGACTTTTTTCATCTTTTTATTATATTTTTTTTGTTATTATCACGTGGATAAGAAATAATTTTATAATTTATTAAATATAAATATTATTAAAAAAATAATTGATATGAACATTACATGTGTGAGCTTGTAGGTTAAGCATATGACTTTGGTTGGAGCTTCTGGTGTTGTCTATCGACTAAATATCATATTCTAAGGTAAAAATGGAAGGTTTTTAACATCTCCTTCATATCTAGGGAGCGCATATGATGAACAGACTACCAATAACCTCTTTATTTTTCTCTCTTCGATTCTCACATCAAATTCTTTAATTTTTTAAATCATTCTTTTAATTTGATCTACCTTTAAATTTGGTATTTATTGTTTTGATTACTATTTTTCATATGTAAAATAAATATTTATTTTATTTGAAATCATTTATAAATTAAAATTTTTTTTCAACTTCATCCTTCTTCAAAATTTGCATCTATCATATTTTGTTATTATCATTCTTTTTATTATGATTTATTTTATTTTTTAATTTTATCATTCATTCCTTTTATTTCATTTAATGTTGATACTATATTTGATCCTCGTTGTTTTGATTGTTATTTTATTATTTTCTTGATTTATTTTATTTTTCGGTTTTAATATTCATTGTTTTATTTTATTTAATTTTTATATCAAATTTAATCTTTAATCTTTTGATTTTTATTTATTTTATTTTTAAATTTTGGATGATTAGGGATATTGCTTTGTGAATTTTTAGAGTTGTATTTTATGGGGTTTGACTAGTTTAATATTAATTTTATTTTTTAAATATTTTTTATTAATTTTATTATTTATTATTATATTATCAGGTCTTTAATTTTGTGAGTTTTGTCCTTTTTTATGAAACTATGTTATTTTATTTAAAAAAACAAATAGCAAATAATAAGTAAGATATCACACCCAACACACGACAGATAAAAATCAAAATAATTATTTGACTAGTTTTCGCTTGCTTACTTCCTCTCTAGCCTCTTTCTTTTTTTTAATGATAAAAAATAGGTT